CCCTAACCCTAACCCTAACCCTAACCCTAACCCTAACCCTAACCCAACCGTATCATCCCTAGACCTAGCCCAGCCCCGACGACCCTAGGCCTAGCCCAGCCCTCCAGACCCTAGGTTCACCCCAACCCTAGTGACCCTACGCCTGAACCAACCGGGATGACCTAAGGTCTACGCGAACGCGGAGGACTACAGCGTTAACCGAAACCTACCGACCCTAGACCCGGCCCGGGCCCAACACCCCCGGCTTGAACCCTCAGGACCCTGGACAAAGTCTTAACCCTCGTGCCGAGAGCGGGGAACGCCCTCGCCTGGCTTTCGACCACCTGTTGCCGACAGAAAAGAAAACACAAAAACCCCCAATGAAACGTCCTGGTGATAAGCCTTGCACGCGGCTAGACGCCGACCCTTCATCTACCTAGGCCTGGTTGCTTCCCTGCGCCGGGTCTGGCTGTGCTGGGGACGCTTCGTCGGGGTCCAGCGCCCCCAGGGCCGCGACCTCCCTCGGCCTTTTCTTGCTCGCCTGACGCTCCCGCTCGTCATCGGCCTTGGCTTTTTTTGCCGCGATACGCTTGTCCCGGAGCAGCTTCCTCCTCCCCGTCCTGCCTTCTTCGGTGAGCGTACCTCCCCAGTCGAACGCCTTCATCCCCCTCGCCGCGTGGTCCTTCAGCGCCTTTGACGTCCGATGGGTTGGCCCGAACGCACGATCCCAGGGGTCGTCGAGCCCCGACCGCTTCGCCGTCAGCAGCTTCGTCTCGAGCGCGTCCCACAGTGCCTGGGGAGACGGGTGCTTGTGCTCGTTGTTCTCCTTCCACCAGCGAACGAGGTAGGACTCCTCGTTCGTGTACGCCATGCGCTTCTGGTTCGGTTTGTGGAGGGGCAGGGGTGGACTTGGTGGGTTGGACCGACCGGCACCCTTGAACCACTTCTCCCTGAAGCCGCCACTGCCGTCCCCGAGGGGCACGCGGCCTCCCTTCTCCTTGACCCAGTGCGGGGACATGGGGTCCTTCAGGTCGTAGGCCATCTGCTCCCAGAAGGTCGGCGTGAGGACGTCGTGGGTCTGACGCCTGCCCAGCCAAGCCGGCGATCGGACGGGAACGGGGGCGGGACGAGGGAGAGGGGCCGCAGCGAAGGCGAAGACGGAACCTACGGAGCGGGGTGGTGATCCCTGCTGCTTCTCCTGAGGCTCCTGACCCGGTTTCGTGTCCTGTTCCTGATCCTGATCCTTGTCCTGATCCTGATCCTGATTCTTGTCTAGATCCTGATCTAGATCCTGATCTAGATGCTGATCTTGATCCTGGGACATGTACGGCTCCAGCGCCTCTTGTAACCCCACGTCCATCGGCGCGGCGTTGTCGTCGCCGTCATCTTCGTCCCCGTTCTCGTCCTCGTTGGCATCTGCGCCGTCGTTTCCTCTCGGTGCCTTCTCCTGGGACATTGAGTCCATCATGGATGCTGGCACAACTTCGGCGGGAGCGGCAGGGCCTTTTCCTGCGGGCTCCGAGTCGAGGGTCAGGCCGAGCTTCTCCAGCACCGCTCCTGCCGCGGCCTGCTCCTTGTTCTGGGCGCCGATCGCGTAGTACTTGACGGCCGTGGCCTGGGAGTGCCCGTCCGCCCTGTGAACCAGATCGGCCTCGTGGCTGCTCAGCTTCCCCTGGCGGCGGCTCTCCTCGACCGTGGTTGCGATCGTCCGGCGGACCGCCGTCGTTCCGATCCTCAGCCCGCCCCTCCCGTCCCTGGCCTCCCCCCTTTTCGCCTTCTCCACGAACCGGGAGAAGACCTTGCCGAAGTTCATCGGCGTGTTGTTGCTCGTGATCCAGAAGTGTCCGGTGAGATCCGCGCTGTTGTTGTCGACGCGCGCCGGCGAGCCGTCGGCGTTCCTCCTCGACCTGCCGGCCTCCACCAGCAGCGGGCGCAGCACGTCCTGGTAGAGGCGGAGCACCTCCTGGACCTTGGGGTGGTTGAAGTCCAGGCTGATGGTCGCGGTCTCCGGGTGCCGGGAGTTTTTGTGCTGCCCGCTGCTCGCGAAGCGGGCTCCCTCGGCCGCCGCGAGAACCCGCCCCATGTCGGCAGCGCTCAGCTGGCTCATGGGTCCCTGGCGACTCGTGTGGGCGCCGACCACCACCGTGGCGACCACCGCGGCCACGGCCCTGGAGAGGAGACGCGGCGCGACCGCCAGGCCCTCTCTGACGTCGCCGGCGATCCTGGTGCCTTCCTCCATGGCGAGGGCGTACGCGTCGGCGCCCAGGCGCTGGAGCCTCGGCTGGGTGATCCAGCGGTCGTCCTCCTGCATGGACTCGACGGAGACCTGGGTCTGGCGCTGCCGGTGCAGCCGGTTGGCTTCGGCCTTGTCCTCCTGCGCCTGCCTGACGGAGACCTGGTCCATGAGCACCATGAGGTTCGCCGCCTTGTCCGTGGTCCCCATGTTGCCCTTCAGCCAGCGGCACATGTAAAGGAAGGCGTCGATGCACGTGACCTGGCTCTTGGGCGACGAGTTCGGCACGCTCTGCATCGCGTCGATGACCGGCTGGTAGACTTCCTTGCCGTGCCTGGCGACGACGGGGGCCACCGTTCCCACGTCGCCGTCGAAGTCGAGGCCGTGCTCGCGCGCCACCAACCCGCACCTGTGGATGAAGCGAGAGATGTTGGTCGCGTACGCCTCGAACGTCTTGCCCGTGCCGGAGTTGAGCCTCCCCCTGGACTCCGCCCGCATCCGCGAAAAGACCCGGCTCGAGCCCGCGGCGTGCCTGGGGATGTCGAACGCCTGCACCGCTCGACCTCCGTTCGGGCGCGGGGGCAGCCGGTGCGCCTCCCTGGGAGGCAGACTCGTCTCGCTCCCGCTCTCGCCGACCTCCGCTTTCTTCTCCTTCTCTGCCTCCTCCTCCTCCTCCTCCTCCTCCTCCTCCTCGTCGTCGTCTTTCCGCTGCGGGGGGAGCTGCACCCTCCTTGGCACCACGTTCGGCGCCGGAGACCGGGCGGGACTACCACACGGAGTCCCACACCCGTCATCCTTGGCGAACACGTCTTCTTCTTGCGGCTGGCTCGTCATGCGTTCCCCCGAGAAAAAACGAAGCCCTGACGACCTCCCAGTCTGCGACGCGGGATCGAGATCGGGCAGGAATGGCGGGCTCGCAGGTCCGCGATGGGATCGTTCCAAGGGTTTTGCAATGGGTCTAGGGTGTGGAATGGCGCCCAAAGCCAGTCCTCCGTGGCGAAAGATAGACGTAAACTTTGGAAAAAGAAACTCAACACTCACAAATGTGTTTTGGGAGCTCGTGATTGGTCAAACTCGACCCCAAGGTGTGGTGCCAAAACGAAGCACACGCTTGCTACAAACCAAACACCTTAAATAGTCACAGGTCTGTTGTGCAAAACCGAAGCACAGAATTCCTATTAACCAAACGCTCCAGATTGGCACTGTTTTGTGTGTTGTGCCAAAACGAAGCATCAATTCCCTATAAACCAGACTTCAAACAGTCACGGATTCCCTGTTTGTCTAGCCACTTGGACCAGTCAGGCTTTGAGTATCTCGACAGGAGATACCGCTCTCTGAGTCTTCGAGTGTCTCGACAGGAGATACCGCTCTCTGAGCATTCGAGTATCTCGACAGGAGATACCGGTCTCTGAGGCTTCGAGATAGGAGATACCGGTCTCTGAGTTGTTGGGGAGTGCCTGGTGTGGAGATACCGGTCTCTGAGTGTCGGGGAGTGCCTCGTGTGGAGATACCGGTCTCTGAGTATTCGAGTACCTCGACAGGAGATACCGGTCCCTGAGTGTTTGAGTATGTCGCCAGGTGATACCGGCCTTTGAGTATCTCAACACGGTTTCTCGACGGGTCATGAGTGTGTTGTGTTGTGCCAAAACCAAGCATCGAGTCCCTAGAAACGAGACCCTTGGCATTGGTACAAGCCGGAAGGCGCACGCAGGTGGGCGAGCCTCGTGTTGGTATTTAGGCAGGCACAGTTACGTCGATCACTCCACACTGTTTCGCAATCACCCCCCTTTAGCACGGGGTATTATTCAACGACCGAAAGCGTGAGGTTTCCGTCAAATCTTCTTAACCGCTTGTCATAATTTATAGCAAGGAGACAGAAAGATGCTTGCAAGGGCCAACCAAGACCCGGTTTTACCTCTGATATCCAAAAAGCTTCAATGGATCCCGTGAAAGGGGCATGAAAGGAAAACGACAGGATTGTGCTCGGGTTCGGTCGGTGGATGATCGACGTCGTCATTTGAAAGGAAAAATCGAGGCCGTGGAAAACGGTGCTTTCATCGCCTCTTTTCTTTGGCGTGGACTCAATGCGCCCACCCAAATTTCTCGAACCCTGTTGGTTTTGTTTTAGTATTTTTCATTTTTTCATTTTCACGCACACCTACACGACTATCTCCGAGAAAACTACATACTCCGAACGAACGGGCCTGCCGCCATTCGCAACAACATCATCGGGCAAAAACCAACTGTTTCCCCCACGGAACTACATTTTTCGCCGGTTTGAGAAATCAGCAAACAAGAGAAGCAGGGGCGGGCGCAACGAACCCCTACTGTGGCGAAAAACAACTGTTTTCATTCTGCCGCTAATAGTCTGGGCTGCCGGCTTCGGCTTCGTCGCCCGTGCTGTCGCGTGCGCCGGCGGCTTCGTCGCCCGTGCCGTTGAGCCTGCGCTTCTTGTTCTTGTCTCCGCTAACCACGGTCGAAGACGCTCCCGATCCGTCGCTCTCGAACCCCTCCACGTCCGTGAACTGAAACGTCCTCTCGGGCTTCCGGGGCTTGACGAGAACGGACCTGACGGTCCACGTGACGCCAACCATGCCGGGGGCGCACCAGATGTAGGAGGCTTCCACGATGGCCGACGCCAGGCACCCGGCCTTGCACTCGGTGGGAGAGATGGCCTTCTTGGCCGTGTTGAAGACGCTGATCTTCATAGTCTTGAGGTCCCTGGGGGAGTCGGACGCCGGGCTCGGGTTGTCCTCGAGAGGGATCTTGGCGGCGAACGTCTGGTCGTACTTGGGGTCGCTGGGCTCCTTGACGGAGGGAACGTACACGCTGTCGATCTTGGCGTCGGGCATGGCCTTCGCCCACAGCGCCCCCTTCTTCTCCTTGACCAGGGCGAGGACCCTGTCGTCCATCTTGAACAGGAAATCGTGGAATGCCTTGACGCGCTGCCCGCCCTCGGACTCCATGCCTCCGAAGGAGAGGGCCAGCCTGGCGCCGATGCTGGCGTCCGGTTGATTGTGGGGAGTGCGCGGCTCGGCGTTCCAGGCGATCCTCATAGCGGGCGTCTCTATCTTGATTCGATCACCTCGGGCGTCCTGGAGGTATCCGAACCTCACGCCGCTCATCCCCGCCGTGGCGCCATCGATCCGGACGCCCTCAAAGTCGAACGAGGCGAAGCTCTTGTGGCTGACGAGGCTGGGCATGGCGATGGTGGTTGGTTTTTCCCTTGCCTGTGTCCGATTTTTTTCTTTCCACAGAAAATGAGAGGGAAGCGCGCGGTAGTGGCACCTGTGCGGCCTTCGATCGTGACAAAGTTAACGGTCAAGAACCGTCCACAACTTCGCCTTCCCGATTGCTTTGTAAGGAACCGTCACCATCTGTGAATACAAATCGTGCACCGATGCACGGAACCGATCTTCGAGCAAAACCATCTGGAACATACACCTACGGCTTACCTACCGAAAAACAAGAGATGAACAGGGCCGTCCCACCTCTCTGCCTTCCCGATCGCTTGGTAAGGAACCGTCACCATCTGTGAATGCAAATCGTGCACCGATGCACGGAGCCGATCTTCGAGCAAAACCATCTGGAACATACACCTACGGCTTACCTACCGAAAAACAAGAGATGAACAGGGCCGTCCCACCTCTCTGCCTCCCCGATTGCTTGGTAAGGAACCGTCACGAACTGTGAATACAAATCGTGCACCGATGCACGGAACCGATCTTCGAGCACCTGTGCGGTCTTCGATCGTGACAAAGTTAACGATAACTGCTTGGTCAGGAACCATCTTCAACTGTGTAATAAAAAACGTGCACCGGTGCACGGAAGCAGTCATTCCAGCCAATCCATATTCAAAGTATACCTACGATCACCGGAAAGCCAGAGATGTGGACGGCGTACCTTCCTGCCTTCCTTGCCGGTGGTAGCTTGGTCAGGGACCATCGCCAACTGTGTAATAAAAATCGTGCACCGGTGCACGGAAGCAGCCGTTCCAGCCAATGCCGTTGAAAATATTCCCGCGGTCATCTGAAAACAAGAGATGGACAGAGCAGTCAAAGCTATCTCCCTTCCCGATCATGGCTTGTTCAAGAACCATGACCAACTGTGAGATACAAATCGTGCACCGGTGCACGGAAGCAATCATTCCAGCAAATTAATCTTGAAAGTGTACCTACGCTCACGTTCGAAGACCGGAGACGGACAGGGCAGCCAGAGCTATCTCCCTTCCCGATGATTGCTTGTTCAAGAACCATCACCAACTGTGAGATACAAATCGTGCACCGGTGCACGGAAGCAAACATTCCAGCCAATGCTGTTGAAAATATTCCCGCGGTCATCTGAAAACTAGAGACGGACAGGGCAGTCAGGGCTATGTCCCTTCCCGGTGATTGCTTGGTCAGGCACCATCGCCAACTGTGAAATACGAATCGTGCACCGGTGCACCGAACCAGCCATTCCGGCCAATCCATCTTCAACGTATATATACGGTCATATCTGAAAACCAGAGATGGACGGGGCCGTCACAGCTGTCTTCCTTCCTTTCCGGTGATTGCTTGGTCAGGAACCACCACCAACCGTGAAATCCAAATCGCGCACCGGTGAACGGAAGCAATCACTCCGGCAAATATATCTCGAAAGTAGGCCTACTCTGACCCGAACGCCAGAGATGTCGACGGCGTACCTTCCCTCCTTCCCGGTGATTGCTTGGTTAAGAAGTGTCACCAAGTGTGAATGCGAATCGTGCATCGGTGCACGGAAGCAAACATCCAGCCAATCCATCTTGAAAGTATACCTACGGTCATCTGAAAGCCTGAGATGGACAGAGCAGTCAGAACTGTGTCCCTTCCCGGTGATTGCTTGGTCAGGTACCATCGTCAACTACTGTGAGATACAAATCGTGCACCGGTGCACGGAAGCAGCCATTCCAGAAAATTAATCTTGAAAGTATTCCTACGGTCATCTGAAAAGCAGAGATGGACAGGGCAGTCAGAGCTATGTCCCTTCCCGGCGATTGCTTGGTCAGGAAGCATCACCAACTGTGAACCACAAATCTTGCACCGGTGCACGGAAGCAAACATCCAGCCAATCTTGTTGAAAGTCATCTGAAAGCCAGAGATGGACACGGCAGTCAGGGCTACGTCCCTTCCCGGTGATTGTTCGGCTTAATTTTTCAGTTCGTGTCCGTGTGTTTGTGTGTTCGTTGTTCGGGGAAACAGTTTTGGCTAGGGCTCGGCAGCCGGACCGCTGCACGGACAGCAGGCACAGCATCTAGCGACCCCGGGGTAGAGAGACAGAGATGCTTCTGGCGCTGTGGCGAGAGAGACGCGGAATAAATGTTGAATTCAATTGGTTCGTCGGACCAGCTGGTTCGGACCTCGCCGACGGTTCCCGTACAGCAGCATTCCCGACAGAGAGAAAGTCAGGCCGCTCGCTCTGTCTGCCTCTCCGTCGTCCGTCTGTCTGGAAAATCACATCGATCGCCGGGACGAACGCGGGGAAAGCCATCGGACATCGGACACAAGCGAGGCCTCAACCGACCCATACTCCCTGTATTCTTGTGGTCCTTCTGGCTAGAGGGACAAGCACGTACCAAGTCCACAATCTTGTTGTACAGCAGCATTCATGCCCGAGAGCTAGAAAGTCAGGCCGCCCGCTCTCTGCCTGCCTCTCCGTCGTCCGTCTGACAAATCTGAAAAGTCACATCGATCGCCGGGACGAATACATAGCATGCCGGGAAAGCCATCGGACGCAAGCGAGGCCTCAACCAACCCATACTCCGTGCTTTCTTGTGTTCCTCCTGGCGAGAGGTACCAAGTGGAGCTAGACTACTAGACTGGTCTAAACAAGTGGGCTCGGTATCGGCCGAACGGCGCCCCCTGTCTCCCCCCGACGAGAAACCGTTCCCGTCTGAAAGGAACTCTCTGTTCACCAGAACAATTCGCAACAGCAGTCATACCCGTAAGCAAAGCTTCTTTCAACTTCGTCAACAGCAGCACTACAAAGGGACGGCTTAAGCAGGTCTACTGCAGCCTTATCCTGAGCACGCATCGAAACGTGGTGAGACTCCTGCGGTCTCAATTGCCGTCTCCACGAAGTTTTCTTGCCCGCAGCCTCGCTGCCACCCTCTTTCTCCAAACCGGGTCCCCGTCCCCGCGACACACGTCTGCCCACTGCCCCCTCCAAACGTCCCTCTGCTTCGCGGATTTACCGCGAGAACGCCTCAGCGAGTCATCCAGAGCCACCCAGGCAAGGTACGCGGGGCCTGCTCGATTTTGGCAAGATCGCGGGATCAAACGCGTTCGACGAAGCAGCAACAGGTCAAGAACGAAGCGCCACGCTGTGGCAGGAAACGAAACGCAGTCGAACTCGGCGAGCCGGCTCAAACGTCCGACGAGATTGTATCGCGTTTACCGTCTGGTACCAGCGAGTGGGTGGCGGCCTGGCGCAGGACGTCGTCGACGGATTCCGTGGATGCAATCACCGTCTACCTACTAACCCCGTTTCTCGTGGAGAAACTCGAATTGGCAGCAATCAAACCACGAGCGAGCATGCCAACATTCCTCGTGAGGCCATCTGCGGTTCTGAATCGACCACAACATCACCGGGGATGCGCAGATTCAACAACAGACTTTTCGCAACTTGGCCGGGGAGAAATCCCTCCCGTGGCGTGCGTCAAAATCTCAAGGCGGCTAGATCGGCGAGCTCGAGAGTACGCTCGTTGGGAAACGACTTCGTATCTTGCGGTTATGTAGGGCTCAGGCAGTCAGTCGGCGAAGGCGCCTCCTGCTACATACACTAGACACGCCGCTTAGGAACATACTTGCACGCGGAGAGGCCCTGTAGCACCACAAAAGAGCCGGGTCTCACCGGCTGCTAGCCAGGCTGGCCACGACCGGAAAATGAGTTGCTCAAGCACCAAGCACGTGGACAGGAACAGCGCGAGACCCGACAGCGCCGTCCGCTGAAAAAAATCCTTCACAACCTTGATGAAGATAGCACGTCCGGGGTGGTGCCAACGCACCGACGGAGCAGCGGGTGAGAGCAAGCAGCATCGTAAATGAAACCGGCACGGGCCCGTTGCTACACACAGAGAGCTTTTACGCTGCTGATCAACAACACTGGCGAGAATGTTGGCGTTGCATTCGCTGCAGCTCGACGGACACGCAGGCCGCCGGCTTCTCCCCTGCAGCGCCACTGACGACGAGTCAGCCATGCTGTTGTTTCTCGTGGATGCCGCTCAATCAGAGGAGCGCCTTCCGGCGGATCCTTCAAGGTACATGCCGTAAAGCGCGCCGTCATGTGCAGATCCGGGCCCGGCGAAAGCTCAACGATCACGAAGTCGCCCCTTCGATTTTGCCTAGAAAAGTATCACAATTCGGTCGCGGTGGAGAAAACCCTACCTACGTGAAACCAGAGAGAACCCCGACGGTTTCAGGACGGTTTCAGAAGGAACTGCTCCCCGGTAGGGCTGGGTGGGCATGGAGACAACCCTGATCACGGCGGTGTCGATATTTGAAATAGAGTTCTCGGTGCCTGCTCATGGGAGCCGCGAGAGCAAAGCCAAACTCGATTTACCTTGGGGCCCTGATCCGGCATCTTCGGCAGCACATCCAAGAGCCCCGGGACTTCCTAACGCCGACACGCGCCGAATCAACGCGTTCATGCACAGCAACAGGACGCTCGCTGTAAGCCGGGCCCTCCATGTGGTGAAAGACTGCGCGTCCTTGGCGTGTGGTGGCATTCTACATGAGGTCGCAGTGAGACCACGAGAGAGTTGCCTCGACAGCAGCAGTAGCCGGAACGTTGGGGAAAAGGATGGGCAGGCATGCACATGCGGCAACTCCGAGGAGGAGCGTGGAGCAAAGACCAAACGGTCAACCAACCAACCAACATTTTTAGGTCAGAACCCCGCATTCCTTCCGCTGGGCTTTTTTTCTTCTTTCAGCCCGAAAGATATCGGAGCGCACCTCGAATTGGAGAACCTCTGGAGTCGCCGTGAACTCCTTTTCTTCCCCGCCCCCCCCCCGCTGTTCCGCCTCGAACGCTTCCAGCGTCGGGGCCTCTCCCGCGGCGGCGCGGCCCTCGCAGGCCTCGCCCTTCGCCGCAAACCCGGGGAAAACGTACAGGATGTCACCGTCATCTGTTACCTGCGCGCGAGGTGAGGTACGGCACGTGTGTACGTATGTATGTATGTTTATGTGTATGTATGTAGTATGTCTGTACGTATGTATGCACCATGTATGCACATATCATTGCAGACAAAAGACGAGATGCCCCGCTGAGTGAGGGCTCCTGCAGCACGGCACAGTGCTTGCTTTTCGTCGTTCTTTCTTCAACTGCGAACAATGCGAAAGGAGGGCAACGTCCCCCCCCCCCGTGAAAGAATCGGGCGTTCTTGAGAGGCGACTGTGGCAGTTCCTCGGCAACCATCGGGAAGTGGCCGGGACACAAACATGCCACACTATGTACACTAGCGTCTTTGTACCTCTGGGGCGCCGTTGAGCTCGAACAGCAGCCGAAGCACAAGCGCCTCGCCCCCCACCGCCTCGATGCTGATACCATCGGTGGCACCGTTCTTGCCGTAGCCAGCGGCGCCTCTGCCGCCGCCACCAGTCGCGCTCTCTCGATACCATTCAGGCGGGCCCTCGCGCGGGTTGAGCACCGGCGCCAGCTGCTCCATAAACACTACCCCGCCGCTTCGCTGCACCACCTGGATCGGAGAAAACAGCAGTGCCCCGCGCGGCGTGCGGGCAGCGCATCATGCACCAAAATAGCGCGGGCGTGCATGAGCTTCGCGGGAACGTCTACACCGCAGCGCGCAGGGTATGCCTAGACGTAGGGGTTCAGCACGGACGTTCGTACACCAGGCCCGAAAAACATGTGCATGTTTTGAGGCTTGCCCCGACATTGTCCCGTCCTTCGCAGCCTCCCGGCGGTGGCCACCAGCCGGCTCCCCACGCCCCAGGGGCAACCCATCTCACACCTAGCCGCAGTTTCTAGTGAGAGCATACTCCCAAGAACAAGACAAAATCTCCCCGAGTCCTGATTATCCTTCCCCGTGATGGAAAAGCAACGCCACAACAAGCGGGAAACAATGGCGGGCGACCCACGCGGTACGCGGTTGGGTGGGCGTGAGGCAGAAGGAACGCTGACTAACCTGCGCAGCCATGTCGAGCTGCCTCCTCCACGTGTCTCGTTGGGGGTCCCACGGCCCCCTCACCAGCTCCTCCAACGCCAGCGGCACCTGACAAAGGCGCAACGGTGGAAAGGTACGCACAGGTAAAACCGAGGACAACGTTTGCGCCCACGCTCGCACGGACGCGTAGACTCTTGCCGTCTCCCTCCATCTCCGGCCTGGGGGGACACGCCGTGTGACTAGGTAGTCCCCGCAGAGGCCTGCCGAAACAGCTGTGCGCGCATACGTGGATCAACGTCGACTTCTTGTTCATCTTGAGCTGGAACCAGCGTCGGTGAAAGCGGCCAATGCGAGATCCGCCAAAATCCTTCCGCTATGACACACACCTGCGCTACGGACACAAAGGACAAACTCCATTGAATGGTGTGCCTGGCGAGCACGAAGTCGCGAAGAAGCGAGGAATGCTGGAATTGCAGGTGGGCCAAAACACGCCACCGATGTGGCACTCGGGGGTGGAGCCTGCAGCAACCTCCCCACTAAACTCTCAAGAGCAAGAATGAGGAGGCAGTCTTAAAGTACATCGAGTCTCTCCCGTACGAAGACTTGCTAAAGTTTGAGAGGGATATGGGTTGGATCCACGAGCACAAGACTTCGGGCTTACAAGAGGATGTTCCTGTGTATAACAAGTTTGTTCGTAATGGGTTTAACCTGCTTACGGCTAATATCAATGATAAGAAGCGTCGCATGGAGAGAGATTGTGGGAAGAAGTTACGCCTTGTGTAGTAGTGTTTCGTGTGAAAGGTGTATATGATTAATAATTAATACTCCAAAACAAAAAGCCCCGCTTTGTTACAGTTTTGTGATAGAAAAGCCTTGGGGTTATTTGAATGTACCACTTCTGGTTTGTAGTGCACGTGTGTATTGGCACTATATACCTTTCCCACTTCCCAGTCAACTTCCGATGAACCCATTAGAGTGAAAACCTTCTTGCATTCCAGAGCCGTCTTCCTCCTGTGGCATATAACACACAAGACCTGAAGATTGGATTTCAGGCAAGAGCCGCCGTATCTCAGTGGTATTATATGATCCACATCGGAGTTACTGTACGTCCCCATGAACACATCTGTTCTACACAGACGACATTTGGAATCCTGTTCTTCAAATAACTCTTGGATTACTTGGGGTTGAATACTCTTACGAGGCATCGGGACGATGTTTCGAATAGGCCCTATCCACATGTGGGGAGACCATAGGCCATCCGTGGATGACCAAATGGAGTGGAACATATCGGGGGTGGGAGTACCAAACGTCTTGTGGACGTATACATCGTCGTGGATAAGAACTGATTTATTCACCTTGGGATAGGTTGATGAGAGACGGGCCTTTTTTGGTGGGCATTCTCTTGTTTCTGGTTGAGAAACGTTGTTGGCTATGATGGTTTGTGGAGAAGACGGGGTTTGGTTCACGTGCGTTCTCTTTTTTGGGATCCTGCCCATCTTGGGCATCTCTCCATGCTCGGATAGAATCTCTCCAGTCATTCTTTTAGACTTTACAATACCATTCATGGCGATCCCGATTTCAACCAGTATTCGATTCAGCTTGGATTGCACGATCAAGTTCTCAAATTGGAGATAAATATACATCTTCTCATCATTGGTGTACACTCCAACATATGTTAGAAATTCGTACTTTTCCGATAGTTGCTCGAAAAGATCATCGACATCTGGAGGGATAGACGTGTCTATATGAATCGAGAACCTCCTTGCCTTTGTACCCATGGTATCCACACTTGTAACCCAGACAATATATTATTGTACTTGGTAGGGACGGAAAATCATATAGATTCTGTAGTGAAACAGGATGGAGCCTGGGCAACCTGCTTGCGGCTAATATCAATGATAAGAAGCGTCGAATGGAGAGAGATTGTGGGAAGAAGTTGCGTCTGGTGTAGTCTTAGTTGCGTGTACGTCGGCGCGCCATTTCGGTCCTGGCATAGAGTACCTGGAGTTTGATAATAAAGTCCTGGTGTTCTTTGTCCAAGAGCTTCTTGTTACAATCCTTGACACAAAGGTCTCTAAAGTTTATCCTGTCCATGACGCAGTTTGCGATCCATAACTTCCCCTGGTCCAGGACCCTCCTGGTGTTACCAAATATGTGTGATGGATTGAGAGTGTCTGGGAATTTTTCTTCGTAACCATGTGGACGTGAAATCTCTTCATCCTTCAACTGGTCTCTTTCCTTCCTAAGCAAGGCGAACCTCCCCACAGTGGGGACATCTTCTTCGGATATCAGCCTTTTGAGCAAGGATCTAGTACTGCCTAAATCCCCAACGACCCGGTAAGAGTTGAAGAGCTTCTTCTTGTAGGTTGAACCAAAATGCTTTTCGATAGATGCATCAATTGCACCACAACCTTTCATGTTGTCATGATACGCCTTTCTTTCATGGCATCTCCTTCCTGACAAGAAGACCTCTTTTTGTGTATTCCAGCATATCTCTAGATCATTCATACAACGCGGATAAGACGGTAATGCTACCAACTCTCGTAGTAACGGTCTGGCTGATCGAGTTTTCCTCATGTTTTCGTTCTTATTCTTGTTCTTCTTGAGAACCTTTGTTGAAGCACGTTTCTTCTTACTATCCGGAGTCTTTGCCATTGCGGGGTATATTGGTGTAGATGTATATTTTTTCATGATACTTAGTCACATGGTGCCACCACCGGACACCACAAAGTACCCCTCACTCAAGTGCGCCGTTTGCGGCGATAACGCAACCTACGCACTTGTACTTTTGGAAAGTCCTTGGTATAGACCCTGGGATCAATTTGCGCCACTGGTCACATTCTAATTTTAGGAATTGGATCCGAACCATACACAAATAGGACCCGTACTCCAGACGGGGGTGGGGGGGTACCTAATTTTTGCCGTTTTTATGCATATACTAAATGCATTAAATACAACCCATTCCACCAAGAATTTTGTATGCAAACATGCTAACGAAAGTTCCGCTGTAACCAGGGGATCAATAAAATACTAGTCTCATCTCTCAACTCGAAAAACTCATGGAGAACCATGGTGTACACCCATGGGTACTTTTGGCCAGATAGCGGGAAACAAAAGTAGCAGAAACAGCAATATTTTGGGCCTAAATCTGACAGTAAAACATACGATTCTCGGCAACCAGGAGGGGTAAAACCTTCAAATCACCGCCAAAAGTTTGGTATAGTTCCCCCAGCAGACGTTTCAAAAGAATCCCGGGGGAAAACGCGTCCGTGGTTGTCATAGACTGAAAGATACCTCGGTCAAACGGTCCCATGTAGAGACTGCTGTAAATGTCCAAAATATACATAATTTCGATTTTTGCACACGAGACTACTTCTTTTCCATTTACAATGACCAATCCCAGTCAAGACAGCCCACAGGAGTCTACTGTCATGATTTCAGCCCTGTCCATACGCTTTATAGCCAATACCGGGGGTACGTTTATGCTGGTTTCACGGGTCGTGGAGGGGGTGTTATCTAACACATGACGTTACACAGGCAGCCGGAGGATCTCTATGTTGGGTTTGGGATCAATACTCTATAGAATGCCACGAAACTTTACAGGAAGGCTCAGACAGGTTATATAACCACGCGTCTGTAATGCGGTAAGACGTCTTGACCTATTGCACACGGTGTCTACACATGACGGTACACGCGCGCAGGCGGGAAGGCGGGAGGAAACAGAAACAGACTCACCCGGACTGCTCCTCGTACGAGCCATCTTCGCTTCAGATATATCCAGAGCCTACTGGCACGAGCTCTCCAGGCAGTATGTTCCTGTTCCCGTCTCTCTCCCTTGGCTCAGTCCTTGGATCTGGCGATGTGGTGGTCGGCACGAGTTGGCGCGAAACCAAGGGGGGCCGGTTTGTCCACACCTACCGCAAAAAATAAGATATTGTACGGAGCCCCCTGAAACGGAGATTTTCTCCTGGCTTTAGGTCCGCTTCCCTTGGTTTGTGATGAGCTCCACGTATTCGTGACCAACCAGGGACAAACACATGATGAATGGCTAATGGCTGGTCCCGAATACGCTCTTGCCGCAGAGGAGGTTCTGGTTTCATTTATTAATGTATGGAACCTTAGGCTGATTTTTGAGCTCATGGGTTCTATTGATGGAAAATTGGTCCTGAATTAATATATGGAACCATTTGTCATTTTGTTGGCAAGGTTCTGTTGATGGAAAATTGGTCCTGTATTTTATGTATGAACCTTCGGTTGATTTTTGAGCCCATGGGTTCTATTGATGGAAAATGGTTCCTGTATTGATGTATGCAACCATTTGTCATTTATTGGTCCAATAGACAGTACTTCGGGAAAACATGCATGGGTTTTACTCCTTCCAATCATCCCTCACCACCATTTGCAGCAAACGTGGTGATGATCAATACCATTGTTTCCACGCTTTCCAGGGATTTGAACAGTTTTGGTCTGGGCACCGAATCGAGGTGGCGGGACAATATCCTGTGATGGATGCTGGACAGGGAGTGACATGGTAGTCAGCGAGGGCAAACACACACACACTGCCTCGGGCTACCAAAAAATACTTCGGTGGTCACAATATCACGCATTGTATGTATTAAGATCAACTATATCATAGTAAACCCCGGCTAAAAAGCGAATCCAATCGTACAAACAAGTGACGCTGGGTATCCACAACGCAGTTCGATTGAGATGCATTTATCGTTACCTCGCAATCTTACTGGTAGTCCCGTTCCGTGAGCATCTTGGTTACACGCTGCTCCTGTTTCTTGTATCTCAAACCCTTACCCTAACTCAGCAAACAACGTCAATGCTAAAACACGTTAACACCAAACCAATGTTGTTTACATCGAAACACGCAAGAAAACAAAATATTTCAAGACATTAGACTACACAAATCAGGACCTCTATGAGAGTACCTCTACGAGAGGACGGGGTCTTCTTGGAGAGGAGGAACTGACCCCTTGCCGTAAACCCGGGGGCGGGGACCATTTCTGCAGACAGGTCCCTCGGTTCACCTCCAAGAGTAAAAGATTACTATCGTCTCGACCACGACAGCAACAACCATGCAGGCGTGGGCAGCAACCAGAACACCCGCAAACACCTCCTGGCTATCGGCGCGCTCATCCGATACGTCTACCTTGCTCAAGAGCGCCGTGTACATGCTCGTAAACACGATGACGTGCCCGACGAGGGAAATGCTAGCGTCCCACTTGGAAACATAAGGAGCCAAGACCACAGACGTGACAACAAACGAAAATGCAATCATCAACGTCACGGCAACCTGTGCCGCAGTGTTGGGGTAGATGAAAACAACCACTCCCGTCAACGACATTCGACGCACGCACTCGATCACCTCGTAATAAAACCGCCCCGGCTTGTACGGAAACCATAAATCGGAGATTGGCTGTACTTGGGGACTCGTTTGACGTTTACCCGCATCCTCACTCTTCAACACACGACGATGCTTGTACAGAAGGTATCCGTAGAAAAGCGGGATTCCCACCGGGTACACAAGGATCATGATGCCCGCAAATACTTGAAAGGCTTGGTGCTCCGAAGAATCACACTCGATACGGTAATCTGCCCTCAAATACTTCTTGTGGTCGTCCAGATCTTCACACGCAAACGATTGGAAAACCGTGGCCGAAACCGAAGAGTACACCAGGAAAGTAATCAAGAGTACCATCGACATGTGCTTGTGACGAATTTTCTGGAGGGCCGCCTCCGACCCAGAGCTCCTGCGCTTCGCAACGGTATAAGTGATCGCCAGCAAGGCCAAAGCGACCAGGGGCCCGATCGTGGCTACCAACAGACGGCCGTGAAAATCGACCTCTACAAGACACCCGGCCGAGGGGATCCAAAGCACATCAAAGTTCAGGATGTTGACTCCATCAAGGAAGCGCTGGTAAACGTCCGGGTACGTCACGTTTGCCACGGACGAAAACTGGGAAAGGGATGTAGCGGAGCGACATAGGTGACCGTGAGCGTTACTTGTTTATGCTCAAACTTTGTGCAAAAGACCATTACTTGCTGTAGGTCCCATATGTCACGGAAAAAAACTGGAAGGGAACGGCAAAAATGATGCGCATGGAAATTTTGAATGTCCTTACCTGGGTTAGGATCTGCCACACAACCACAACGATCTTGATGGATTGAAGAGGAAGACGTTTGACGACCCGATGGATGACCCCTCGGCGAGCACCCTCCATCTCTCCCGAGACAAGATGCATGCAGAGGGCGATAGCCGCGCCCAGAACGAAAACGCCGACAACCACCATAATTGCAATGCCGCCGTGGTCATCCACGCATTCGGTGCAGGTGAACGCCAGAGACATGGAGTATCCTTCGCTGCACACCGAGCAATCTGTGTCATGCACAATATGACAGGGATTAGTTTGGGTGCGAGAACGAAGCGGTCTATAAAAACATTTCCCGACAAGGGTGACTTCAAATCTGCGAAGCAATCGTTTCCACTTACAAGGTCCCTCGTAGCCTCGCTGACAGAAGGCTGGATCATTCGTCATCCCCCCCACGCAGGCATCTTCGTTGTAGCAAGCCAGGACGTTGGCACTATCATTTGTGGCTCGCCAATAGCCAGAACTCAGTTCCAATGTTTCGATGGTCGTATCTCCGCCTTCGCTTCGAGTGTGGTCTAGCTGTACGACACAAATCGGAACCCTGTCTCCATTCTCCACTGACACTATCCAATCACTATTGTTTACGGGGCATCCATCACAGACTGTTTGGTATCTGTCACCATCAACACTGTCCAGATACATTCCGTTCTCGCACGACAGAACGTTCCCAGAAAAACGAGAAGTGCCCTCTAGATCTAAGACACCCAAGTTCGATACCGCCGGGCCCTCATCCTCGGCAGTGTTGTCGATGAAAGTGCAATTTGTCAATATAGCGGAGCCACCGAGCCGAAGTGCTCCTCCAACACCTGCTGCGTTCGCTTCAAAGACCGAATTAATTGCGAAATCATATCCCGCGGCAGTCTCTATCGCACCACCCGTGACACTTGCCTCGTTGTCCCTAAAGAGGCAGTCCTTGTATCCTACCGGAAAAAGAGGATCTCCACCACCATTGGTTTCTATCCCGCTGCTCACCGAGTAAACGGCACCACCCCTCGGGGCTCTGTTGGCGGTGAAATTTATTTGAATGAACTCTGGACCAATGACCACACCGGACAACATTACCGCACCCCCGGCACCGGCCGTGTTGCTCTCAAAAATAGATGAGCTAATATTGAATACAGTCGAGCTTACTACGTGCAGTGCCCCTCCATCCTCTCCGGCGGTGTTGTGAGACCACTTCGTCTCTCCGCTCAAAGACACTTCTGAGCCTGAGCGCACGGAAACCGCCCCTCCATTCTCTCCGGCGGTGTTGTTAGACCATGTCGTTACTCCGCTCCAGGACGCCCAGCTGCCTTGCACGTAAACCGCCCCTCCATGACTTTCGGCATGGTTTTGCGACCACATCGTCTCTCCGGTCCAGGATACGTCCGAGCTGTCGATCACAACCGCCGCCGCTCCACTGTCAGCGGTGTTTTGAGACCACGTCGTCTGCCCACTCCAGGACACATCTGAGCTTGTGGACACCAACACAGCCCCCGCCAAGCGCGCGGTGTTATGAGACCACAAAGTCTCTCCGCTCCAGGACACACCCGAGCATTCTTCGACCTGAACCGCCCCCGACTGGTTGCCGACGTTGAAAGACCACGTCGTCTCTCCGCTCCAAGACACATCCGAGCAGTTGCTCAAATAAACCGCCCCTGCAAGTTGGTCGGCGGTGTTGTTAGACCACGTTGCTTTCCCGCTCCAGGACACATCCGAACTGGCCATCACCACCACCGCCCCTCCATCATCACCGGCGATGTTGTTGATAAACGTTGTTTCTCCGCTCCAGGACACATCTGAGCCAAGGTACACGATCACTGCCCCTCCGTCCGTGCCGGCGGTGTTATGAGACCACGTCGTCTCTCCGCGCCAGGACACGCCCGAGCTTCTTTCCACGTAGACCGCCCCCGAGAAATTGCCACCATTGTTGAATGCCAACGTCGTGATTTCACTCCAAACCACATCCGAGCTGTCCACCACGAACACCGCCCCTCCTATGCCGCCCGCGATGTTGCTGAGAAACGTAGTTTCTCCGCTCCAAGACACGTTCGAGCCTAGGTACACATTCACCGCCCCTCCATTGTCGCTGGCGGAGTTGTTATACCAGGTTGTCTCTCCGCTCCAGGACACACCGGAACTGTCGGTCACGATCACCGCCCCTCCATCATCGCCGGCGGTGTTGTTAGACCACGTCGTCTCTCCGCTCCAGGACACACTTGAACTGTCGTACACGATCGCCGCCCCTCCATGGCCGCTGGCGGAGTTGTTAGACCACGCCGTCTGTCCGCTCCATGACACGTTCGAACTGGCCGTCACGACCACCGCCCCTCCATAGACCCCAGCGTTGCCTGAAAAAGTCGTTTCTCCGCTCCAGGATACATCCGACCCCAGATTCATGTAGACCGCTCCTCCATCGTCGCTGGCGCTGTTGTCCGACCACGTCGTCTCTCCGCTCCAGGACACACTTGAACTGTCGTACACGTAAACCGCCCCTCCATTATCGCCGGCGGTGTTTTTTGACCACGTCGTCTCTCCGTGCCAGGACACATCCGAGCTCAGGAGCACGAAAACCGCCCCCCCATATTGACCAGCGGTGTTGTCGGAAAACGTCGTCTCTCCGCTCCAGGACACATCCGAGCCCAGGTACACGTAAACCGCCCCTCCATGTGAATCGGCGGTGTAATTTGCCCCATATTCACCAGCGGTGTTGTTCAAAAACGTCGTCTCTCCGCTCCAGGACACGCCCCAGCTGTCAAAGATGTGAACCGCCCCCGTTTGATTGCCGATGTTGGAAGACCACGTCGTGTTTCCGCTCCAGGACACACCCGAGCTGTCAAACACGGCAACTGCTCCTGCGGTGACGCCGGCGGTGTTGTTGGAAAACGTCGTCTCCCCGCTCCAGGACACATCCGAGCTGTCAAAGACGGCAACCGCTCCTGCGGTGATGCCGGCGGCGTTGTTGGAAAACGTCGTCTCTCCGCTCCAGGACACATCCGAGCTGCCCGTCACGACAACCGCCCCTCCATTGACGCTGGCGATGTTGTACAAATAGGTCGTTTCTCCGCTCCAGGACACACTGCTGCCGTACACATCAACCGCCCCTCCAACGCCTGCGGTGTTGTTCAAAAATGTCGTGTTTCCGCTCCAAGACACATCCGAGCCGAGGTACACATTAACCGCCCCGCCTTCACCGGCGGTGTTGTTAGACCACGTCGTCTCTCCGTTCCAGGACACGTTAGAGCTGCTCGTCACGACCACCGCCCCTCCATAGACGCTGGCGATGTTGTTCAAAAACGTCTTTTCTCCGCTCCAGGACACACTATCACTATCGTACACATAAACCGCCCCTCCCTCATCGTCGGCGTTGTTGTGAGACCACGTCGTCTCACCACTCCAGGACACGTTCGCGCTGTCGCCCATGTACACCGCCCCTCCGTCGTCGCCAGCGCTGTTGTCGGACCACGTCGTCTCTCCGCTCCAGGACACGTCCGAGCTGTCCCACACCCACAAGGCCCCTCCATCGCCGCTGGCGGTGTTGTGAGACCACGTCGTCTCCCCGCTCCAGGACACGTGCGAGCTTTCGTGAACGTAAACTGCTCCTCCATGGTCGCCAGCGCTGTTGTCGAACCACATCGAACTTCCGCTCCACGACACGTCCGAGCTTCTATTCACGAAAACTGCCCCTCCATCGTCGGAGGCGGCAGTGTTGTGTGACCACGTCGTCTCTCCGCTCCAGGACACGTGCGAGCTGTTGTACACGTATACTGCCCCTCCATCTACGGCGGCGGTGTTATCGGACCACGTTGTGTTGATGAAGCTCATTGTGGATGTATCCGCATAGATCGCCCCACCTAGCTCAGATGTACAATTCTGGATACGGAGACCACTCACATACATTGCGGCATTAACGACGTTCAGAAACTGTGTCCTATTCGCCCCGTCGGCGACAGCACCAGCCCCAGCTCCGGTTATGTTCATGACAGTATCGTCGACGATATAAATTGTTTCGGGGATTTCAACGTGTCCGATCCACTCCACGTCGAATACCCCGCCGGAACAGTTGGAAGCTCTTGCCAGTTCTGATGCTGTGGCCGAATTATTTACCACCCATGAGACTCGAAGGTCCGGTGAGCAGGGAAGGCTCGACGCCAGCGCCACGCTGGAGGCGGCTGCAACCAAGAAGACCCACACGGCAGTGACAGGCAGCAACGTCAAAGCACGAAGACTGGTCGGTCGAAGTCGAAAACCCGCCGTCTTCTTGGAGCCGGCCTCCACGATCCTCTTCACCATGCCTTGGTCGTCGTTCGTCGCGCACGCCTCCAGCCGTCGCCCTATGATGGTGCCCGACGCGACGTCGCCCTTGTCTCCGATCAGCACCCGCTGCTGGGACTGGTCCAAGGATTCGAAGAAGGCGATCTTATCCTCTCTGCTGAGCGTGCCTCCTGTTTTTTTTGGGTATGCGCCGTTTTGTGGTGAGGTTTTGTACGCATTTTGCCCATAAATATTGCATATAATCGAATTTTTTACAACCCATTCCACTACACCTCCTCCCCTCCCCGGCCTGCTCCCCGGCCGGGGCCGAAATCGACCTTGTGAGTCCCTCGCGGGCGAACCAGGCCACAACAGATAGTAGGTGGGTGGTGTCCCAAGGTGCAACTCACCGCCGCGCTGGCTCAGCGTGGCGGTGAGGATGCACAGACGGTGGTAGTGGCGAGAGGTGTATGTGGACCTTGTCCCCGCGGCAGCAATGCAAAGCGGCAAACTGCACCTGGTAACCACCGTCGCGGAAAACGTGGCCCACGAAGCTGGAGGAGCAGAGAGATTCGTAAAAACCACGCGAGTAAGCACCGTTCGCGGGAGAAGGGAGATAACCGCGGGCGACGCGGGGGGGGAGTGCTGCACCCTCCTCGTCCAAACACCACAGGCAAGCACCGAGCCCTGCAAAGATGGATCGATGCGAAGAAACTCGCCGCTCGGATTAAACGGAAGAAA